TAAATAACTATTAAAATAAATAAAATGGCGAAATGAGTACGGAGTATTTCATTATTTAAAAATGAATATTTCTGTAGGTGTACGGAATATACTCTCAAACAGGATGTACAATATAGAAATTGAAATATCTTAATTAGGGTGTGGGGTTCATCATGTTTTCATGAAATAGACTCAAATAGAAATAAAGCATATAGAAAAAATTAAGATATGACTTTCATATTTTTATTTCCAAAATATGACTTTAAATGTCAATAATGTGAACATATTATACCAAAAAATACTTGTAATGCCAATATACAATGCAATATTGTCACATTGCAATAATCTTATTTTGAAAATAAAACATGTCACTTTTATTTTGGAAATTGATGGAATTAAGAATTGGGTAGGGACAACTGGATTGACAATAAGACACTTGGGCTGAACCACATTAAAAGATTGAATTCAATCGATTAGTTAGTTCAACTCAAGAGCTTATATACCGATTTATTTTCTTTTCAAGTTCCGATGTGGGATACTCTTTTAACACTCCCCCTCAAGTGGACAACCGGGCCATTTTGAATCTAACCGGTTGACCACTTGCAAATGGACTCACATCCCCTTGATTTTTTGTTTTTGAGCGCCAACACCTAAAGTACCACGAGCCGCTGGGTATGGACTTCCAGACGTGCAATCGGGTTAAACGGGCCACAGGCCGTTGGGTACATACTCCATACGGACAACTGGGCTAAAGACTAACGGGCCGCTAGGAATAAACGTCTAGACGAACACCATGACAAACGAACCTGCTCTGATACCATGATAGAATTTAGATTTGGGTATGGACAACTGGATTGGCAATAAGACACTTGGGCTGAACCACATTAAAAGATTGAATTCAATCGATTAGTTAGTTCAACTCAAGAGCTTATATACCGATTTATTTTCTTTTCAAGTTCCGATGTGGGATACTCTTTTAACAGAAATAATGATTGTGTTTTTCTTATATTTTGTTGGAATACACTTTACGATTACGTTGTACTAAAGTAATGTTCGTTTTTGACAGATTTTGATAAATGCCAAACCGCTGAGAATATAAAAAAGACTCATTGAACAACTTAAGGCAAAGAACAAACATTGGCAAAAGATCAAATGGAACCAATAACAAAGACTAGAGACGAAGACTTAGATTTAGAAATTGAGTTGGTCTTACTATGCTCAAGACCGGCATTAGGTTCAAGTCATGGCTCTTAAGAACTAAAACATTCAAATCATTTTCTTACATCATTAAAACACATTTTATAAACATTTTCATATTCTAAAAATGCTTGGTTGTCACCCAAACTAAAACCGCTACGTTCGGCGCCCACCGTTCGGTGTTCGATTTTTGGCAATGGTCGTGGCCATTTTTTTTCATCAAATGACGTTTAACTTTTTATCACTGGTTTTAGCTACTGGGCACGTTAAAAGGCTTTTCAAATGTTTAGCTCTCTAAAACCACAACCTTTTTTTCAGCATCGGTTATTGCCATACGGCGTTGGTTATCGTCGTTGATTTTTAGCAACCGAATCAACCAAGTGGTTTTTAACATTTTATGATTCGCTTTTACTTCTGGGCATATTTAAATGGTTTTCTAACCAAAAAAAATTCTAAAAACCACATTTCATTTTTGGACTTTGATAAAAAAACCATGAATTTTTAATACTCCTCCCACATTTCTAAAAACCACATTTTATGATAGTCACACTCCATCCAAATACTAACTTCACTCCACACACTAAATTCGCTCCATTAGTTTCAAAATTATTTTTAATACTTATTCAAAAAAATTATTTTTAATCCATGAACTCATATAGAACATTTTGCAATTTTAAGATTTTGATAAAAAAATTCTACTTTGAATCATAATACAATAACAGTTTAATCTAATAATTTTTTATTATACTAGATATGGAGTATATTTTAATTATTAAATATGATATCTTTTTAAAATAAAAGTTGTATTTTTAATAATAATTCACATTTATTAACATTTATACTGACTTTTAGTCTTGAAAATAAATAAAAGAGAATAATGGTGAATAATTTTAAAGATTATACTCAGTATAAAATGTTTTTAAGTAAAATTTATATAGCCACCTTTTTAAAATAATAAAATAACTATGTAGATTAAAAATGGTGAAATGCATATTGGTATAATACTTAGAAAATAGAAGATTTTATACAAAATCAATGGTAATTCAATGTATATTAACAATAAAAGTTATTTTAATTAATAAAAAATTAAAAGAAGAGACACCAAAGTTTTTTAACTAAAATAAAAACTAAAATTCATATATTATTTTATTTGAAAAGTTATAAAATGAAATTAATGATGAACAGTTTTAAACATTTATTTATAATGTTTTTTAACATAATAAAATTATACCCCGGAGTATAAGTTTTTTCAATAATAACATAATAATATATTCAGGATGTATTTAGTTGTTTTTCAATAATAACATAATAATATATTCAGGATGTATTTAGTTGACGGATGAATTAGTGTCTTAACGAGTGTGGGTATCCGCTCATACAATTAGTCAATTACTACTGGGGTGTGATACTCATGATGTAGAAAATGGTTCGCGCACGTGGCTTTTGGAGGGCAAGTGGTAGAGTCAATATCGGTCAAATCCAATGGTTTGGTCATCTTTTGCCACCAAGACTTTTTGGATTAAGTTATTTGTACCCAAAATTTGTATCCTAAATTACACGGAGTACACTACATGTGTGTACTTTCATTTTGTGATAATGTAATGCTAGAGTGATGATTCAAACAGAAACAAAATATTGATGCAAATTTTTTTAATCCCATTAGCATTTTGAATGAATTTAAAGGTCCAATTAAAAATGAATTATAATTTATATTAATATTAAAATTATTATATTATATTTATTTTATTGATAATTTTTTGAAATTTTATTTCTTTAGACTACTATTTTTGAAAAACTTTTGAAATTTTATTTCTTTAGAATTTTTGAAAATTTTGACACCACTTATAACAATAATAGTACAATACAATATTCAATAAGAACCATGCTTGGGTGCCATCACATGGGTGCTACCATGGGCGCACCCATGCTTCACACAGACAAACACAGACGATAATTGTCTGTGCGACACAGACAATTATCGTCTGTGTGAAGTATGGGTGCACCCATAGTAGCACTCATGTGGTGGTACCCTAGCATTTTACATTCAATAATACATGGACAGTGGGAAACTACCTATGTGTCCCATGTGGTGTCAAATTGTGTGCCCTAGCATGGTTATTCTTTTTTATATGAGTCATGTTCGAAATTCACCATAGCTGACGACAGGCTGACACTATAAATAATAACCGTCTGTGAATTTGTACGCAGACAAATGATAATCATTTGTGGACACATAAAATTCACGGACGATCATCGTCTATGTGTGTACAAATTCGCATACGAAGCCTTCTGTGGTATCAATCATGGTAAGTCTATAATATTTTTTATTCTTAAATTATCTTCATCATTTAACGTATGAAAGCAATAATTAATTGGTCATTGGCAAACACTATAGAGTTTGGATGGTGTGAGGAAAATGTGGGAATAAAGAAACTAATAGTTCACAATGTTTGACGTAATACAAATTGGATTTTGTGAGGAAGCTAATTAAGAAAAGTCAAACAAAAATGCTTGCAAAATGCATGCTTAATTTTATATACTCGTATGTCCCCTCAAAACGACAACTATATGTCTATATATACACATAGTCACTTAATGTTTTTTTAAGGAATGATTTCCTTTTAGGGTCCATTGTGTAAACCATGATGATAATGAAAGCTTTAGATATTTATGGACTTGTTTTTGAAGCCTTGATTGAAAACCAGAAATTGGGTTCTATTGACAAATACGGAGTATTTTACTACTCTCGGTAAAGAACCTTTAATAGAAGTAGGGATAGAAATCGTAATTTTATAAACGGGACACCGAAACGTCACGGGTCATCTCAGGACATGGGGTTCCCCAACGTCATGGGAACCTCACCGATAGAAGTAAAAGATTATGAAAGTATTTATAATGATTACACACGCGGATTGAATACATACACACATTTTATCCAAAAAAACAAATTAATGAATAACAAAAACAAGTAAAGTTAGGTCATGTCTTTCTGGATCTAACTTATTTTTATAGCTTATTACTTACTCCCTCCGTCCATAAAAGAACTTCCCACTTTCCTATTTGGGATGTCCACAAATAAACTTCCCATTTCCTTATTTGGTAACTTTTTTTTAAGTAAATGTCTCATTTACCCTCTCTACAAAACATACCATCCATCCTCACAACCCAACCTTATCTTTTCTTCCACCACCACCACCACGTATCTCTCTCTCTCTCTCTCAATAATTCTCTTCATCTCCACTAGATCTACCCTATTCTTTCTCTTGAAATTGTCTCCATCAGCATCTATATCTACGTTGCTCCCAGCATCGCTTCTCGCTGCCAAAATCTAGCAATAGTTAGATCGGTTAGATTATTCAGATCCTCGTTAAATTCGGTCCAATTAGATCCCTCCTTGACGTTTATGTTTAGACTATGACTACAACAGCGCACTGGAAAGAGATGTGACGACAATTGAAGCGGTGGAAGGCAGTGGGGTTGTTGAGACGAAGATTGTAGAGGAGCTGCTGAGACGGTGTTTGCAGTCAGGGGATGGGGGCGGCGGGGGGCTGTTAAGACGGCGATTGCAGTGGTGGGATGGGGGCAACGGCGCTGCTGTTGAGAAGATGATCGCATATGGGTTGCTGCGACGGCGATTGAAGTGGGTGGATGAGGCCGGAGACAGAACAATGGGTTGGATGGGTAGAGGGGTATTTTAGGAAAGTCAATGCCTTTTTTAATTTGCATAAATATGCGCACCAAGTCAAAATGGGAAGATTAAAAATGGACAGAGGGAGTATTTTTATTTAAATTGGATCAGATCAAACCAAATCAGAGACAACTTTAAATATAACCAAAATTTATTCTAAACAGATCAAAATCATTCCGATCAAGTGATGGAAAAAAGCCCTTAATCCCTATTGTGTACACCATTGGAAATACTTCTACCAAGAAGATTGGAAACACCACTTAAATTCTCCCCATCTGTCTATGAAATTGTCTTCTTCCTTCCAAGCATTGCATCACAGAGCCTCACAGCATCAAAATTATCCCTAACATTATGCACCCTCACAATATCAGCCCCATTCAGAACCGCGGCGGCGACGGACGCAACGGTTGCCGGGTCCCGCTCGGCCGCCAGCGGACGGCCGCAGACGTTGCCCAAGAATCTCTTCCTCGAAGGTCCAACAAGTAAGGGAGAGCGCGACAAAGCCAAACTCCTCTTTCCCATCTCGGTCCTCACGGTCCCGAGACCCGCGAGAAGATTCAGATTCTGATTCGTGTTCTTCGAGTACCCGATCCCGGGGTCCACGACGATCCTCCAAGCCGGGATCCCCGCCACCTCAGCAGCACGAGCCCGTTCGTAGAGCTCGCTCGCGACTTCTCTACACACATTGCCGTACCGTAGATTCTCGGCGTTTTGCATCGTTGTAGGGGTGCCCCTCGCGTGGAGGGCTATGTACGGAACTTTAAGGTCCGCGACGACGGGGTGCATATTGGAATCCAAGAATCCACTAGACACATCATTCACCATGTGAACTCCTTTACTAATGGCTTCCATGGCTACCTCAGAATAAAATGTATCTATAGAGAAGAGCTTCCCTTCTGCCTCGGGCATCTTTGTAACTGCCTCCACAACAGGAATCAGTCTACCTATAGAGATTTTTAAAAGTTAAAAAAAAATCTGCAAAAGTCAAACAAAAAATATTTGTATGGAAATGAGGTACTGTAATTTTAGAGATAAAGAACTTGAAGGGCAATAAGCCAAGGGGAAATGGTTTGCTGTCGAAGTCAAAGGTTCCCTTCACAGTAAAAAATATAAAAGTAGTCCATAGTTACCACACCGAAGAATGGCAAATAGCTAAAGCAGAATAAAAGAATTGAGATGAAAGAATGGGACAGCTTTGGCTTTAACATACGTAAATTTGGGATTGATCGAAGTGAAACTTGGGGGTCTCGTGAATCTTATTCAAGGCAAGTGATTTCTTGTCTTTAATGTGAATCGCGAGACCCCTGAGTTTCCTCTTTGATACTTTCTGAAATTATACTGTCTTGTTTTTTGGGGTAAGCTATATGTCGTTTTTTTAAATATAACACTCAAATTTTGCAACTCGCACCCATACCCAACTCACACCCGAGGCCCAAACCACAACCGCGGCCCAGCCAAACCGTACCCATTACACCCATTCAATTTGGTAGTAGTATATCTCTCATTCAAACAAGTCGTGAATCGTCTCCTATTCCTCTTCCCTCGCCGCCTCCACCACGTCACCCCATGATAAGCCGTGCCCGTCTTGGTATTTTTAAACCTTAACTTTATGCTGCCACTACCCCTTCTTTTACACCACCTATTACCAACAAAGAAGCCTCTAAAAATAGTTATTGGTTTCAAGCTTTGGATGATGAATTTTATGCCTTGATAAATCAAAACACATTGGGGGCTTATTCTTGCACCTTCAGATCGGGTTCCTATTGGTTGTAAGTGGGTTGGCAAGTGATTTCTTGTTTTTAATGTGAATCGCAAGACCTCTAAGTTTCTTCCTCGACCCTTTCTGAAATTATACTGTCTTGCCTTTTGGGGTAAGCGATATGTCGTTTTTTAAATATAACACCTAGCTAGAGCCCATTTCTGAAGGGGGCCATTTTTGAAGGGGCCCAACAGGAATCAGTCTACCTATGGAGATTTTTAAAGTTTAAAAAAATTTGTAAAAGTCAAACAAAAAATATTTGCATGGAAATGAGGTACTATAATTTTAGAGATAAACAACTTGAAGGGCAATGAGCCAAGTGGAAGTCAAAGGTTTCCTTTGCAGTAAAAGATATAAAAGTACTCCATAGTTACCACACCGAAGAATGGCAAATAGCCAAAGCAGAATAAAAGAATTGATATGAAAGTAAAAAACAGCACTGTCTTTAACCTACGAGCAGGTAAATTTGGGATTGATTTATGGAGCACATGAAAGACTTATAAATCTTATTCGGGACAAATTATTTCTTGTCTTTAATAATAATTTTAAGTCGTTCATGTGCTTCGCAAACACATTCTAATATTATTTTTTATAGAAAAAGAATAAGGGGAATTTACTTAAATAACACTAAAACATAATGACTTTCTCTAAATAGCATCACATGTGTTTTTTTCTCAAAGTAGCACTTTTAGTCATTATCCATTAGTCATTATTCAAGTAAATGTTTGCTATCACTGAACACTATGGACATTATTAAGTGCTATTTAGGAAAATGACTTCAGTTTTAGTGTTATTTAGTGCAAATACTTCAAAGAATAAATGTCTCATAAATTCTCTTCCTTTTTATGAAGTAATAAATTTCAACCACACTTTTATAATTTTTCAAGACCTTTTACATTTTGTAAAAGTCAAACATAATTTTTTTGGGAGGGCGTAACTTTTACATTTTGTAAAAGTCAAATATAAAAGTCAAACAAAAAATATTTGGATGGAAATGAGGTACTATAATTTTAGAGATAAAGAACTTGAAGGGCAATGAGCCAAGGGGAAATGGTTTGCGGTGGAAGTCAAAGGTTCCCTTTACAGTAAAAAAATATAAAAGTAGTGCATAGTTACCACACCGAAGAATGGCAAATAACTAAAGCAGAATAAAAGAACTGAAATGAAAGAATGGGACAGCTTCGTCTTTAACATGCGTACATTTGGGATTGATCGAAGGGAAACTTGGAGGATTCAAGAATCTTATTATTCAAGGCTTGTGATTTCTTGTCTTTAATGTGAATCCTGAATCCTCTAAGTTTCTTCCTCAACACTTTCCGAAATTATACTGTTTTGTCTTTTGGGGTAAGCGATATGTCGTTTTTTTTAATATAACACTCAAATTTTGCAACTCGCACCCATACCCAACTCACACCCGATGCCCAAACCACAACCGCAGCCCAGCCAAACCGTACCCATTACACCTATTCAACTTGGTAGTATATCTCTCACTCAAACTAGTCCCGAATCGTCTCCTAGCCCTCTCAGTTTCCTCCTAGACACCTATTCAATTTGGTATTATATCTCTCAATCATAGTTACCACACCGAAGAATGGCAAATAGCCAAAGCAGAATAAAAGAATTGAGATGAAAGTAAAAAAACAGCACTGTCTTTGACCTACGAGTACGTAAATTTGGGATTGATTTATGGAGCACATGAAGGCTTGTAAATCTTATTCGGGACAAATTATCTCGTCTTTAATAATAATTTTAAGTCGTTCATGTGCTTTGTAAACACATTCTAATATTATTTTTTATAGAAAAAGAATAAGTCTCATAAATTCTCTTCCTTTTTACGAACTAATAAATTTCAACCACACTTTTATAATTTTTCAAGACTTTTTACATTTTGTAAAAGTCAAACATAATTTTTTTTGGGAGGGTGTATGTGAATGTCTGTGAGGGGTAGAGAAAATGAGGCATACCTAGTTCTTCTTCAGGTGAAATTTTAGAAGCCATAGGACGCGATGATTGTGCCCCTATATCGATTATATCCGCCCCTTGCAAGAGCATTGTGCGGGCATGGGTGACAGCAGACTCGACCGAAAGAAACTTTCCCCCGTCGCTAAAACTATCCGGAGTCAAGTTAAGGATACCCATTACAGATGTTTTGGTCGACCAGTCCCATAAACGGTTCGCGACGGGCAAAACCCGGCGCATGCCATCTTTTCCACCTAATTTGTCCCACAACTCAAAGAGGTCCCCGCCGGAGAACGAATGCCAACATGCCACCGTGTCATTCTCTATATCCGACCCGAGAAGATCAATCAATGGTCCAACCACAAATGGTCTCTCCCATAGCCTTTCATGTGGAACAACGAGAGACTCAGAATGAATCTTGAACTTGCCATAGAACAAGATGTCCAAATCAATTGGTCTTGGACCGTACCGGATCCCATCCGTACGCCCAATATCCTTTTCAATCTTCTTCAGAACCCGTAACAACTCAAAAGGCCCGAGCTTTGTGACCGCTCTGATGGCAGAATTGAGAAACTGGGGTTGATCAGTGACATAAGCGGGTGCGGTCTCATACAAACACCCGTGCCTGGTTATCCGAATGCCTGATTTTCTCATTTGGTCCAACGCATCATCAAAATTATGAAGTCTATCTCCCATGTTGCTCCCCAATGCAATAACTACTTCATGCTCTTGAGAATGGACTTCCACAACACCATTGGAAGACGAATGAAACAGGGAACGGCGTATCACTGCACAACGGATGGACACTAGTAAATAAGAATGTGGATAAAAGGAGTCCATAATAGAATTTATTTCTCCAATTTAGGACCCCCAAAAAAAGTTTCCTATCAAATTAGTATATACAGAGTATAAGATAAAACTTCATGAATAAAAATAGAAGGCTTTTAAACATTTCAAGGGAATTTGTCATAGCTAAAAGCAAAGAGAAATGGGATCACCATTGCAAGGCTTCTTTGTGCATCTTGAAGAAAACTTAATGGGCACCAACTGTTTGAAAATATTCATACTTCCAGGGTGGCTTAGCAACTACACAGGATGAACTTCTCAGGCTTAAGATTTGTCTCTGAGCTCTACAATAAAAAAAAAATCATGAATCCAACAAAATAACTTTTAAATAGAAAATACATAAGCAGTCACAGAGGCAATACATTGGATGTAACCAAATGCATCATCAAATGTGAAAAACATAATCTGATAACTGCCCAACATTACAAACAACAACTACTGCACAATGAAGAGTGTAAGGAGACTGTACAAAACCACAGCGAAAGCAAACATGGTAGGAAATACTAACAACATTCTAACGCAGTAACTATCCAACATTCTAACAACAAATATGCAAAAAATCTAGCAAATGTAAAACAACATGATAATCAAAAGACCCCAAACTAATTTAGTTATAAAACATACGTAATACATGTATTACTCCATCCGCTGCCAAACGAACTCTCCATTTCTCTTATTTGGGAGTCCAACAAAACAAATCATGTTCCACTTTTCTCAATGAGTAGCATTCCGACATTACTATTGATAGTTGAATGTAATACTTCAGAAAAATTGTGTCAAGAGCATAACGAAAAAAAAAGAAAGTATAATAGCATCTTTGTTTCAACCAAAATAGAAAAAACTACTCGGCAAAATAACTAAGACATTGTGGGAATTTTTTCAAACAGGTAGAGGGCATAGTCATATTAACTTTTAAAAGAATAATTTATGAATCTTTTAAAAGCAATTAGATTCGACTTGTTGACATGTGAACCATTTCAGTCCGGACATTAGATGGGGTGTACTATTCAATTCCCAAATAAAATTCACAAATTGAACACGAATATAATAAAGCAATTGAGGTCGTCAGCGAAGCGGACCTGTCACTGCCGACCTGCCGTGGCCCATGGTTGACGGCGAGGAAGAGAACCACCGTGGAACAGAGGCGTCCGTCAGCCGAATTGGCGAAGAAGACGGCGGCTTTGGTATACTTCCCTCCCTCCCGAATAAACAATGAGTTTTTTTAAAAAGAAAATTTTATTAATCTAACCTGAAATAATCTCCGGTGAGAAGAGGTCATTGCTCCTCTTCCCAATCTAATATAGAGTAAATTAATGGGTTCTTTTTAATTTAAGTAAAACAATAAATGCACAAACAGAAAAATATATAGAGTAATTAGATACCTATAAATTAAGACCTTCATTATAAAAAATTAAGAAAAAAAATCAATGAGTACCAATCTGACATTAATATTGATCGTTTTATGTAATATTTCAGAAAAATTATGTCAAGAGCATAACTGTTAGTAGTTACATCCCAGATCGAAAAAGAAACAATAAGGTGCTCAATATATAAGCTTCATAGTCTCTTCTCTTATTGCCAAATGATTTTTGAATGAAACTTCCATGGACTTGTGTGTCGGGCCTATCGTATGATTGGTATGAACGATCGTGTATCCCATCACACTATGATTGGTCCACCAGACTTTTATCAAAAACAAAAGTATTAACCCAAAAAGAATAAATTTTTTAATCTTTTAAAAGCAATTAGATAAGTTTAAACCATTCAAAAATAAACAAATACGACCAATAATTAATTACGGGTCTGTTTGGGAATAGCATTAGCGTTTTGGATAAAATTTTAATGGTATAGATTAATTTGAAAACGCTGCCTGTAGATAGCCTTTTGAAAACGCTAACGCTAATCTCTAACGTTGTTCCCAAACAGGTCCTACGTTACAAGCAAAAACAAACAATTTCAAGTAATTATTCACTTATAAATAAATAGAAAATAAATAAACAAAGCTTAATAAACTAGACTTTAAAATTGGGCTACAGAAATAGTTTGAAATTGGGCTACACAAATCGCGCATAGGGCCATTAGTAATTGGCTTCTGAAGAAGAAACACAGATGCGCAGCCATGCGCTCTCTCGTCTCCAGAAAATAACTAAGAGGAGATTTCAAAAAAAAAAAAAAAGGAAAAATATCCAGAGGGTTATACTCCGTATTTTAAACGTCCTCTTGTGAATTTTGCCTAATTTTTATTTCAACCATTATTACGATGACTGTTAAAATAAATGTATAAAAGGAATATTTTATAAGCTGTAAATGCGCAATCAATATACAATAACACTATGTATTGGGATTTATATTATAGAAGCTCTCAAACACTCACAAATATTACTCTTCGTCCCAGAGTATTTTTATCTACTTTTAATTTTTTTTTCATGTCAAAATTGATAAATTTTGACCCGAAATTAAATAAAAATGATAAAGGTTAACAGAAAAAATAAAAAATAGACAAATATTTTGGAACGAGATAGTAGTTTTTATCCGATTTTTGAACGAGTTGGAAACACAAAAAATTGGCAGGAGTCATATCTAATTTGAAGGGGGGTAAATTATTTTAAATTTTTAATTAAGCACATGAAATATACAAAGAAAAAAAGGGACAGATTAGGTAACGTGGGAGTGAAATATTAAATAAAAATATTATTAGGGAGTAAAAAAGGGGTGGTGTAAATTATTGTATTAATTTTTAATACTTCCTTTTAGTGTATATTAACTTCTTTTTTTAAATTTCGAACGCGTTTGTGATGATATTGCATTTTATCTTATATATTTGTTTTGAAATGTGTGCATATTTGAACTTTTGTGGTACTATTTATAATTTTGTTGTAAGTGTCTAAAATTACTTGAAATATAAAATAGAAATTTTTGAAAATGCAAGAACGAACTTAGGTTTTCTAAAAGTAAAGCTCATAACCTGTAGGATCCATCTGAACTCTATAACACTAGGTCATGAATGTACAGCTCTAATTTCCAAACTCGAATTTGAACTTATTCGAACCCAAAGTATCTCGAACTCGACACAGTGGCAATCAGCTCTAGTTTTTCGATAATTCTTTAAATTAATGTAAATAATGCTAATGTAAAAAAAATTTAAAATTAGAGTTGGATAAAGTTTTCAAATGAAGCTAACACCTAACATAGTCATGATTTATAACTTCTTCATTTCAACGTATTCTTATTACTTATTTTCAATTTTTATTGAATGGGATAGTTCCATTTAACCTTCATACCAAAGAGTGATATATGGGGATGGCAATGCATCAAAGAAGCTAAACACTAACAATTTGGGGAACTAAACCATTTTCCTCCAAAATGAAATTTATTTTGAATTGGATGCAAGCAGAAAATGCGAGAAGAAGAAAAATAGGTGCCCCTGCTTGAATATTTTTTGTCATATGTCTCAATCTATAGTGAACTGATTGAAGTGATGTAATATAAATTGGAAATCCAAAGGATCTGTTTGGTATACAGAATTGACGGAATTATAATTGAATTGGAAATTAAAATTTTATGCAATTGATTTGGATAGAATTGAATTTTCCAATTCCAATTGAATTTTGGCACTACCAGTTCTAAATCCTCATATTTTTGTGCTACCAAACAGCATAATTTGAATTGTTGTCTTCAAATCTAATTTTATAATTTGAATTCTGTATATCAAATAGAGCCTAAGACTTTTTGAAATAAGAAAGAGATTCGATCATGTTTGGCAATGGACTATTAATTCATGATAGTGAGGTGTTTTTCATAACTATTTTTGTAACAATTTATAGGATAGATTTTCGTTTAAACGACTTTGGATCGACTTGGATGGATACACATTATTTTAAGTTTTTTTATTTTATTTCAACAATTGGTTAGCTTATGGTGAAAAAAAGGATGAGTCACATTTCCGAGGGTCTCCTCAGACTCAACCGGATGGTCAATGAGAGAAGGTAAATCAGACTTTAATCGCAGGCAGGGAGTAGAGCATGCACTTGAGTGCTTGATACTTGCACGAGCCCTATGCTTAACATAGTTGCCTCTCGGTGCAATTTCGAATTGAACGCGGATCTTACTCCCTTAACACTTTTTGTCTTGCAAACTACGCAATACACCTCAGCAATTGAGGACTTGATAGTGGAAGGCCAAGAATGAAACTACAAATGTCAAAATCACTAATACTACTACTTTTGCTTTTTAAATATTCTAACAAGTGGACTCATCACACACATATAATTATTACTATTAATATCTCAATGGGATATGCGTTGTACATGCTTAATTGATAGCCTTCATGCAGACAATTACATCCTTATTGTAAAGCATGATAGTTACAGGTTGTGTTCTACTAAATAACCATTTTTATCCTGATTATATTTTCTTATTTTACCTATCACATCATATTTTTTACTAATAATCTATCCATCACATCTTATTTTTATATATCACATTAAGGACAAAATTAGAAAGTAAACTACAAATATGTACTCCTTATTTCTCATAAAAATTAAAATAGGAACCGCAAATAGAGTACATTTTAAGAAAATAATATCGGGGTTCACATCAGTCAGCTTCTTTCTCCCGCACAAGGCCATAAATCACAATGTAGAAAATAAGAGAGAAAATATTTCTGTATATTGAATTGGCTTATGAATAAAAAGGTCTAACCCTCTTTATATAGAAAGAGAGTAAAGCATATAAGTAAACTTCTATTCCTACCATATTTCTATTCCTACTAAAACAAGAAATAAACAAACTAGGAAAGATACTAAATCGAATCCCAAAGGGATTCAGTTTCCTTCTTCGGTCCAGCTTCCTTCTTCTATCGCCAACAC